CCTTACGTAGACGTAGCAAGCCTTATAAGCGCGAACTACTAGGTAGCGAACTTTTGTTTAATAGCGTTAAGGTAGCCCTTTTATCTAAGCTTCTAGTCTAACTAAACTCTTAGAAAGCGCGCCTCTTAAACTAGGGGTATAACCCGGCCGTTAAGGTAGACAAGCGTCGTTAGTATAGTATAAGTACAGGTAAGGTAAAGGAGCTTACTTTTTTCTAAGGCAAACTCTATCCCCCTTATACGCGACCACTAGCTACATGTCTACTACGCCCCTTTAAGGTACTAGCGTGTCTCTGTCGTATCTCTACTAAAAGCTAAGAGGTTAAGGTCGTTAGTAAACCCTACTATAATAAGGCCTGTATAACCTTATAGTAGCGTATATAAGCTAGTAGTATAAAGGAGAAAGAGGATAAGAGAGAAGAGTAAACCCTATAGTACCCTTATAGTAACTTCTTAGGGCAGCGCCGCCTCCTTATTAAAGAAGAGACTAGCTGTCCGATTAGTAAGGAAGCTACGTACCTACTGTACGGCCTACATAAAGAACCTTAGGTACTAGAGAGTATAGAGAAGGCGTATATAGTTTACTATATTAAAGGCGCCTTTAATATCGAGTTAAAGAAGGGACGCTATAGCCCTATAGCTTTACGTTATATATATAGCGTCGACTACTATTTTGACTATAAGGTCTGTTAAGCGCTATAGCCGGTTCTCTATCTGTGTTTCCGGGAGGAGCCCTTACGACTCTATAGCTTTAGTAAAGCGCCGGCTAATTACTAACTTAATTACTTTACCTATCGCGTTTAAGAGTAATATCGGCCTGTAGGCCCTAGCGGTTTGTTACTACTTAAGGGTTTTTCCGGGCTTACGTAGTACTACTACCTTTACTACTTTAAACTACGTAAGAAAGTGTCCTAGCTAGAGGCTCGTAGTTATTATTACTATAAGGAGCTTGGCTAAGGGGCGCCTACATGCCTTAAGGAAGCTAGTAAGTAGTAGGTTAGGGCCCGGCGCCTTCTAGGTACCTGTCTTTTAGAGAACGTTAGTAATATCTACCTCTATTATAGTGTCGTTAATAGTAAACCGTTAGTACTACTTGTCCTAAAGGTCTAGAACGACGTCACTAAGATTAGCTATTAATTCTAGAAAGAACTATCGGCCTAACACTATTACTTTGTTATAGTAGCTCGTAGCTAGTGCCTCCTTATTAGCGCCCTAAAGAGGCAGGAGTAAGGCCGGTTCTAGGGGTACATAGCTATAGAGCCTGGCCTACCTCTTAAGACTCTATAGTTTCTGTTAGTCTTTTAAGGTAGTAGTAAGGGCGCTACGCTAGCTCCTAGTTTTTACGTCTTGTATTATATAGAGTTAATAGGTACTAGCCTACTAGAGGTCGCGCTAGTAGAGCTTAGTTAGGGCGGCGGCGTATTAATAGCGCGCTACCCGTACTTACTAGACAGCCTTAAGGACCTTGCCGTTCTACTAGGGCTTAGTACGCCCCTAGTTAACCTTCTTCCTTAGGGTAGATATGTCTGTAATACGTACGAGCTAAGAGGTAAGCAAGTTAACTACCTTGTCGACCTTATAGGGTATATCTAGCGGCTCTAAAGAGAGGTAGAGCCTCCCGGCCTTAATCGTTACTAGTTCTCTGTCTATTAGGGTCTAGCTCTATCTTAGTACCTCTATAACTCTTTCTTAGTAATCCCTTACTTAAGTAATAACCTTGATTAGCTAGGTATAGTAGTCAGATCCCTTGTACCCTAGGTTACCTTAATAAGTACACTAGAGCGTTACTATAACCTATACGTAGTTAATCGTTAAGTCTCGTTCGTTATGTTACTACTATGTTAGCTTCCTCTAGGGTGTGTGTAGTAAGAGCTGTTACTTATAGGCTAGATAGAGAAGGGTCTCTAATTTAAGGGTAGTCCTACCGGCTCTGTCTTAGAGTAAGTAATAAAGGTTTATGTTACCTGTAACAATCTGTAGCCTCTCTAGGTTCTCCTTAGCGAGCCGCTAGAGAGGACTAGCCTAGCCTAAGGAGTTAGGAATCGGCAAGTATATTAACTAGACAGTAACTTCTTATAGAGTAACGTAACACTAGTCGACGCCTGTCTCTACTACCTAGGTAAGAGGTAGGTACTGCTTATAGACGTAGATAGCTACTCTACCTTTACCCTTATAGACCTACTAGTACTTTACTTGTACTAGGTAGTAGACTGTCTTTGTCTAAGTGTTATACTACGGCTCTTAAATTACTATAACGTCGACTTTACGGCTATTATAAAGTACTATTAAGGTAAGGCCGTTCCTTCTTATAGTATTCTAGTATACTATTGTTAATTTTATTACTAAGAGTCTAGGATCTGTAATTCTTACGTTACAAAAGGGTCGCTAGACCCCTAGTTAGCCCCCTAGCTTAACATCTCTATAATGTCGTAGCTCTAGACTATTATAGTGTCTAGTGCCCTAATAGAAGGGCGCCCTTGTCTTACTAGAGTCTTTACTATAGGCTTCTTACTATTACCTGTCTGTAGTCTCTTATGTACTACGATCTAGTAGCTATTGTTGCTGTCCTATAAGGACGCTAGCGTAACGCTAGGTACCTAGCTAGTAAAGCTACTCTTAGACACCTTAAACTGTCTAGGCCTTTATTAATATACGGCATGTGCTTACTCCTTTGCCTTAAGGGCCTTAAGACACTAACGGTCTTATACTACGTATAGTCTACTATAGTTAACACATCTCTTTTTACCGTTAAGTTAGGGGTACTCCTCTTTACCCTAGGGGTACGCTACTCTTACGTAGTAGCCGCACTAGGCCTAGTTCTTATAAAACCGCCTAATGTAGCTAAACTAGTAGTACTAGAAGTATCTTTAGATTTGTAGGTCGGCTAAATACAGCTTATAGTTAAAGATCTAGGCTTACTAGATTAACTCTTGTTTGTACAGGCGCGTCGCCGTGTTAGCGCTCTAGAGGTATAGTACTACTATTATAAACTTTACTATAAGGGCCCTAATAGGTTTAACTTTAACCTTTGTAACATACGGCGCGTAGGCTTAGATCTCTACTAGTAACGCTCCTAGCTCTACCTGTATAATCTGTTCTACTAGTAGGCCTTTTACGATTATAGCGAACTTACTCTTATAAAGCTAGGCCGTAGGCCTAAACGCCCTCTATACCTAGCCCTAATCTTAGATCACGTTCTTTAGTATAGCCTCCTTAAACGTAAGGATAGTGTTACTACTAGGTAGCCGGTAGGTCGCTACTACCTTAGCGCCCTCTATTACTATATTAGCTACTGTTACTACTTTAATAGCGCTACGACGTACTAGGTCCTTTGTCTGTCTGTCTACCCTAATCCTTAGCTCCTTAATCCGCCTCTCTAGTATAACCTAGACTCTTATTAGGCGCTAGCTTACTACTAACGCGTAGGTAGCCTAGGGGGCCGCTATTATTACTAGCCTCTAAAAGGCCTCTTCTAACATCGTTCTTAGTTGTCTGATTATTACTAGGTTATTATTAGAAGGGGACCTAGGGGTACGTAGGGAGGTCGTCGTGTTTGTAGCTCTTATCTCTACTACTGTCGTCGTTATAGCGATAAGGTCGTGTAAGAGACGCGACGCCTCCTCCTCCTTGCCTAGTATTACGTAGGCTTTAATCCTTTATATAATTTTCTCTGTCTTATCGTCCTTATTACCCTTACTACTCTCTAGCTCCTTACTATAGCTCTCGGTTAGGGTATAAGAGTACTAGCTCTTACCTGCGAGTAAGTAGTGTTAGCTCTGTTTAAGTCTAGCACACCTACTATCCGTTACTATAGGCTTGCCTATAGTCCGCTAGTACTCTAGGGGGTATCTAAAGGTACTGATTTTAATTCTATCGTTTATTTTTGAGTTTTTAGGGTAGTAGGGGGCGTAGACGACCGTTTTTTAACTTTATTAAAATATATATATAGGTAGAGAGCTTAATTAGTTCTTAAGAATATAGGTTATAAGAGATCAAATAGTGTACTAGGTATAGTTAAGCTAAGACTTGTATATTAACTCTATAGTAAAGAAGTTCTACCTAGATAAAGAGAGGGCCTTAAATACGCTTATAGTAACTAACAAATTAGTACTAAATAGTAGTAAAGTAATAGAACAAGAGGTCTATAGCTATTAGTAAAAGGTTAGCTTAATACTATACGCTACTATTATTACCTAGCTAGACGCTATAAGAGCCGCTACTAAGCTCTCTAAGTTTCTTATTAATCTGTCGCCTAATTACTAGTAAGCTATAGATAGAGTAATATAGTATCTATATATAACAAAGTATATAGCTATTAAATATAGAGATATAATAGATCTAGGGTAAGCGTTTACTTATACTAGTAACACTACTTTTATAGATAATCTACTTACTAGAAGAAGTACTAAAGGTTACGTGTTCTACTTATTTAGTAGGCTAATAGACTAGAAATTAATAAAGTAAAAGACTGTTACTACTTTAAGTATAGAGGCTAAATTACTCTTATTAACCTACGCTATAAAAGAGCTCTATTAGTAGAGAAGGGTCTTTACAAACCTTACTCTAGAGTTTAATTAAGGGTTTAAGTACTCTATATAAGTAGATAACCTACAAACTATACGCCTAATAGAGCTAGGAATACTAAGATTAGTTACTAAGCTAAAGTACGTTAATATCTACTAGTACTAGCTAAGGTAAGAGGTAGCCGCCTAGCGCGTCTAATTAGAGTAGATTTTAACTAATTATATACCGGCTAATAGACTTATAAAGGCCTTACTACGTTAGAAACACTAGGAGTTCGTTAAACAGCTTAAATTAGTTAATATTTGTTACTAAATAAAACAGACTAATTAAACTACTAAATAGAGCCTAGAGCTTTTAATAATAAGTAACTTAGGCGTAGAGACGTACCTAACAGACTAATAAAAAACAGATGTTAACTAATTACGCTAGTTATATACTTTTATATATACTGTTTTTAACGTTTTACCCCGCGTTTTAATGTTAATTAATAATATAGTATTAGAGCGTAAAAAGAAGCCTACTAGGAATACGTAAATAGCTTTACTATTTCCTAATTAAGAACAAAATCCTAACTACTTAAGGAGGTGTGTTAGAAACTAGGAATGTCACGTCTATTACCTAATTAGGTAATTACGTTATTAGAAGCTAGATTTTGTCTGTTACCTTATACCTCGTATCTAGTATATAGATTACCGTATACCTATTACTATATACCTCGTACCCTATATAGCGTTCTAGGTATTACTGTATATACTATATTTAGTATACTGTTTTTACTACCTTTACCTGTATATAACTCCCTTTACGTTCTCTATTAAGTAGTTAGTTTAATTTAATTTAATCTACTTAAACCTAACACTTGAATCCACTTAATTCGCCCCTTTATTCGATCCCCCAATTCATCCTATTTGACACTATCTCAAAGGTTCCTTCAACCTCTGCATCTGCATCAGATTCAACGATGGAGGACCGAACGCCATTATTCGGTTCCCAAAACCGGGACACACAGCTGTAGCTCTCATGGACGAAAAGGTCACGAACGAGGTCCAGTTCATGAAATACCTCAGCAAGAACACTACCATTCCCCTCCCTCGTGTGACCAGCTGGGGTCTAACTGAGGAGAGCCCACATTACTTAGGGCCGTTCATCATTATGGATTATGTCGACGGGACGCGGTTGTCGACTATCCTGAAGCAACCGACTAAACATGACCAAGAAGACGTGGTTCTAAGCCCGGATATCGATAACACAACATTAGACATTGTCTATGATCAAATCGCCAATTATATGGTTCAACTTTCTGAGCTTGATTTCACCGGCATTGGAGCTATCTCAGAAGACCCCGCTTCAAATACATGGTCTGTTACTGGAAGGCCCCTCACCTACAACATGAACGAGTTGGCTACTGTCTCAGGCTACCCCATCGACAAATTTCCTACGGCGGCATTTTCATCTGTAAACGAATACTGCCAGAATCTTGTGAACAAACATTTGATCCACCTTCGGACCCAGCGCAACCTTGCTGATGACCCGGAAGATGCTGAGAGGCGGTTCATCGCCCGTCATCGATTCAAGCAGCTCATCCCACAATACTGCATCGAAGACCCCGGTCCGTTCAAACCCTTCTGTGACGATTTGCAACCTTCGACCATGCTCGCAGACCCGAAAACCCTCCAGATTACCGCCGTGCTGGATTTCGAGTTTACGAATGCCATGCCGGCCCAGTTCGCATACGACCCGCCTTGGTGGCTGTTGCTGCTAGGGCCAGACATGTGGCTTGAACGCCGCACTATGGAAGAATTCTTGGCCTGTTACGAGCCCAGATTGGAGCAGTTCTTGCGAGCGGTGGAACGAGTAGAATCGAAATCAGGACCAAGGGGAAAGCAGCCCACGGGGAAAGCAGCCCACGGGGCCACATCTTTCTACCAAGATGCGTGACTCGTGGAGGACTGGACGTTTCTGGTTCGATTATGGAATAAGGAAGAGTTTTGATATCGACGCAGTATATTGGGCTGCACTACATGATGGCAGTATTGGTGTTGACTCCCTTGACGATGAAGCGCGGGCAGAAATGGAGTCATTAAAACAGATGAAGATGGAGCAGTTGAAGGCATATAAAGAGGAGTGCTCTGTGCGTTTCCGAAGTCCCAGCCCCTGAATATTTGACGGCACAGCTCGAGTTTTGGTCTCTAATCTATCGGCATCATTTACACATTAACTCTTTTGCCGTCGTCGATTCTCTTCGTTATACCAGCATAACGCCGTCAGTAGAGTTTTCACAGCACGGGATAGTAGAGATTGAATTACAATTGCCCCAGGGGACTGCACACAAAACACCGCTCTGAGATACCTTCTTCAAGTATGAAGCTAGTTGGCCCGTCAGGTGGCCAGCACCTGATCAAGCAAATAACAAGTCTTGCAAGAGAAGGATAATTGACCGTATCGTGTCTATCTTTCCTTTTCTCCAAGTGTTGACTTCAATCATACGGACTACAGAGGAATATTTCACTGGTGTCCTCGAATTTGGGATGCCTTACCTATCTATCCGCTTTCCGGCTGATCATGCCCAGCTTGAATGAAAGGGGTAAAATATATCATGGAGGATACGGGATATCAATTTCAGAATAAAGCGAGTTGGAATTAGTGAGAGGTTCATGCTCAGACCTTACACAGTACTTGGCAAGGTCAATTGCTTTCACAGGTGTGTCTCGTAGTGAGGCTGCTCATAAAGTTTTATTGCTCTTTTTTAAGATTTGAGAACCAAAGGCTAAATACGCGAAGCAAAATGAATGTGAGCCATCAAAGTCGCTCACAACCTAGGTAATGTGGGGGTAAATACCGTAAATGATATTCGTACCTCAATCTTCATCTATGTGCATCTTCATCTGCTTCATAGAGACCTCGAGATACCAAATCATCTCCTTCATCATTGCTTTGACCGCCTTCCTATCCATGATAACCGCATCCAAGTTGTCTGGTTCTCTTTCCAACGCATCCTTCTTTGCCTTTTCCAACTGAGCGATCATATACTCTGACTTCTTCTTGAGCACCTTGAACCTCTCCAGCGCAAACTGTCCAGTCAACTCGTTCAAATAGCTGAGCTCAAGTGAGTTGGTAATTTCCGTGTCGTCTCGCAAGGCTGGGGACTTTGGCCTGTAAGAGCATGTCATCGTGATCCGCTCGCCAGTGTTCCAAGCACGCAGCGCAGCGTGTGGCATGTGTCGACCCTGCATGACAATGCATGATCCCATCGTCGGCCCGCGCAGCTTCCTCAGTGACCCATCGGGCATACGCAAGGCGGTCTCTCCGCCCACCATTTTATCCGTGTTTGAAAGCATTAGCACACACACATACGGAAAGCTGTCGGTGTGCCAATCGTCGACATTAACCTCGTGATATACGGACTTCTCCTCCTCCCATCCAGCAGGCACCGGCTCAGGAAGCAGCGGGAATTCCTGCACGCCCTCTTTCCCACTGGCTCCGAGTTGGATGTTGGTGTGGCCAATTTCGTAGGGCAGGGCAAACTCGAGTTCAATACCCACAGCTTCTTCCATGATCTTGTGCACCTCGGGGGAGCGCCAGAAGGCGTGAATGAAAGGTGCCTCTTTTTCAGTAAACCCCCGAAGCGTAGCAGGCGCGCGGTACCACGAGTGCATGCGTCTCTTGATCGTGGATGGCTGGAGGAGCTCTCGTCGAAGTTCAACCACTGCGGCTTCGGAGCATAGCTGGAAGGGCTCGGTGGTCCCAAAATCGCTGGTCCCCTTCAATGGAAGGCCCAGCTCCGAGTAGGTGTACTTGCGGTTCGGGGGGGTATAGTTGAGATGGATGGCCGGGTTGAAGGCGACCTTAGACGGGCCCCGAAAGGTGTCTTTCCGCGGATCATAGCCGTCGGAAATAGGAGTAGGAATGTCAATTGCAGAGGGTGCCATGGCAAAGTAGTTCGACTCAGTAAATCAATTTAGGGTGGAGTTTTCAACTTTTCAAAACGAGTGCGGACGTTTGAGAGACCTTCTTAGATATGCATTGGGATGGGCCATATTTATATTGAAGCACAACAACAACAACGAGCTGCTGTTGACCCAATTCATCCAGATTTCCCTTATCTTCGGATACATGTGAGGCTTGAGATAATTGGTTGGCGGGTCGGGCGGGTCCAGCGGCCTTTCATGATGGGAGGATTGGATCGTCGAAGGTTGGCGGCTCTTTGCACACAGTGAGCGGGGTTTAGCGATGGATAGCTATAGATGGAGGTGGGGTGCTGCTATCGCGGATCAATTTGCTGAGACGGGCCTTATCTTAAAGTCTTACAGTAAAGGGGAGAGCTTGGCGGACTGTCCCGTGACTTCCCGCCGGTGGGGAGGGATGACTAAGCAGCGCGCGTATTCTCTGCCGCGCGCCTCCTTTTCACTCTTCTTTCATCTTTCTTCATCTTTTATTCTCTCCAGGTCCGACCTCCTATCAATAACGCACCCCCAATTGACTCGCTTCCGTTGTTGGCAACATGCTTTTTCAAAAGTTTCCCAAATCGTGTAGCATTTCCTCATGTAGTATATACCTTATGCCAGCATCATTACTAGTGTATGGTGGGGTTACCGTACGGGGTCTGCTTATCTCTGTTATCTCTTGACATCCCTGACCTTCTCCGTTTCCAATTCCTCCAATTCCCTCCCTATGCAGCGCATCCATCTCGTTGACACCCGGAAACGTCAATCTCCATTGACCAGTCGTTATTGTTTACAAGTCACAACTGCAATTTACAAAGCATGGCCACTGCCGCCAGATCACCCCCAGCCGGCGTCACCGAAGCTCCTCCCGCCAGGAGAACTTCACTCAGCGGCCGCGTTCGCTCAGGATGCATTACCTGCAAGTCTCGAAAGAAGAAATGCGATGAGCGGTACAGTGGAGATCCCAGTTGCTGCGAGAGCTGTTCACGGCTAGGATTGATCTGCGAGCGTGAGGCTTTACGCAAAGTCCCTCCTCGACCTTCACGACGACGGAAACCGCCCTCCACGGTGCCACCACCAGCAGAAGGCAATACTCACCTCCCTCCGCAGACAGCCCTCCCAATCGCCGACTCAGTACAACCGCATCCCTTCATGTCCATATACTCGTCTAAGAAAACATCCACAGAACGCTTATTACTTAAATACTATGTCGGAAAGCTCGCGGCGCTCTGCTCAATCGTCCCAGGAGAGAGCAACGGTTTTGTCACCGTCTTGTTGCCAATGGCTATGGATGATTTGGCTTTGTTATACGCCCTGTTTACATATGCATCTGTCCACTTGAGTATTACCGCGCATCAAACGGCTGTCTCGGCCACCGCACAATTGGAGTACCAGAGCGAGGCAGCTCGCACACTGTCAGAGGATATCGGAAGAAATACCGTGTCCGACAGCTCAATCGCGTGTGCATTGATTTGCTGCGCGGCAGATTTCACTAACGGTGACACCGAACGGTGGATTCTTCACCTTCGCGGAGCAGGCCAGCTTATCAGCATGAGAGGTGGCGCAGAACGTCTCGGTCAAACAAGCGATGGACGATTTCTCTTGCGTAATTTCGCATATCATGACATTTTATCAGCCGTCAGTAGTGGTGGCAGGCCTCATATGAATGGGGTGTATTGGAATAGAGACAGTGAGCCTTCGATGGATGCTTTGATGGGTATTGCAGACGGGCTATTCGGCCTGATCAGTGAAGTCTGCACTTTGATTGCCGATGTCAAGGACAGTCTACTCTCCGAAGATCTTACATGCGATCATATATCGCGCGGTGAGACTCTCGCACATAGGCTGCGCGTCCAGTTATGCACACCTCCAACACCGTCCGCTGGGGCTGACTGGTTAACTTTATCCTACCACGCTGAAGCCTATCGGTATGCAAGTTTGCTGCTTCTTTATCACCTCATGAGTGACTTGTCACCCGTGTATCTCCTAGAAATTTCTGAATGCGTGGAGAAGATAGTTTATTACGCGTCTGTAATCCCGCCTGACTCCACTGCGGATGCTGGCCTGGTGTTTCCATTGTTCATGGCAGGCGTCGGGGCTGTGTTTGGAGGGCCAATTGATTTTATTCGGGAACGTCTGAATAGTATATACAATCGGACGAAGTTTGGACACATCGCTAAGGTGCTCGAGTTACTTGAGAACATGTGGAGCATGGGTAGAACAGACTGGGTTGTCCTGTTAGACGAGCTTGGCTGGAAGATCTCGTTGGCTTAAAGACGTGCAACGGATCCTGGTCGTGTCATGTACCGCAGCAAAGTTGTGTTTGGTATTCATTTGCTAGCAATGTTTATGTTACCGAGGTCAAGATACCTAGTATATCTGCAGCGTTTGACTCTAGCTGAACCCACCGGGGCCAATGCTTTTGCTGTGCCATAAGGCTCCTCTCATCTATATGAGCGTTTCAGGAAACGCCAGACTCGACCATTTTTCAATAACACAGACTTGTGGTATTTTATAGGCCAAAGCCATAATGGTCCTCCAACCTTGCAACTCTCATAACTCTGTCTTCACACCCTCCCTTACCACTTGTTCATTCGGGCGTGGTGCCCGGTTATGCGTCTTCCTCTCGACATACCCGTCAACCGGATACAATGGCTTTCCGACCATCAGGCCGAAGACCTCGAAGATTAGATCCGACGCAGCCCACGCCGTCGACTCACCTGCGTCGTCGTATTGCGGTGCTACTTCGACCACGTCGGCTCCGACTATGTTTAGAGAGGTCAGACTTCGCAGGATAGCTTTAACTTCCCGCGTTGTCCAACCTCCTGGCTCCGGCGCACCGGTTCCTGGCGCAAGGCCTGGTTCTACGAGAGTGTTAAGATGAAGTCCGATACACTATGAGACGGAGGAAGGGCGGAGTTGGGATTATTACCTAGGATATCGATGTCGATGCTGAGATAAACCAACGAGTCGCCGACGACTTGCTTGATGGTGTCGGCAATACCCTTCACCCCTATCTCGTCGATTTCTAACGGATGTCCCATTAACGCTGCAGCTTAAAAAGCCATCCCTCGGGACTTGACATACCGTGCGTCTCAATATAATGGAACCCTTGCCTTGCATCATCATCATAGTCTGCGAAATCGCCTCCAAATATGCGCGACCTCAAACCTGCGTGGATATTGGTCCCGTTCGCTATCAAACCTTCGTTGTGAGCAATCCAGAACTATCATTGTCAGCGAGAAGGGTGTCTGGGATTCATTGTTCAATTGCGGATGTCTCACCATTGATCCGTGAGTGAAGTCAGATTGAGCGGAGCTCCAATAACCAGCTAGATTATTCGGCGCCCATCTGTCTCTAGTCAGCATCCCGAAGCCTTGTGGAGGAAGAAGGGCTTCCGCACGTATCGAGATGACTATCAAAGTGAAGCACGCTGATGGGTCCATAGATTTCGTTCAATGCTCGAAGTGCAGGCAAAGCTACAGAATGATCTCCGCCGAGCGTCATCAGGCGCGGATGATAAACACCATCCTTTCCCTTGACACCAGGGGTCGCTGCAGTGGGCTGGGTGCGCGCTGGTCTCCGAAGCAGATCACGATAAGCTTCGGTCATCTGCGTGAAGGCTACTGCATTGTCACTTTTCCATTAATTGTCAACTTGATGCACGGGACCTGGGGTGAGGGGCTATCTCTCTTACAATGGAGTAATTGGAATATCGCCGCAATCTAGGAATGTAGCCCAATTCTGGTATGGATTGATTCCTTGGACAGGATTAAAGCCTCTGGAGGGTATCTGACGCTGGCTCGCACTTCTGATGGCCCGCGGACCAAACCGCGCTCCTGGACGGTATGCAACAGAGGTATCGAATGGTGCTCCAATGACTGCGATGTCGAAGGAAGCTTCCTGGTCAACTAGACATTCGACATGCGGCAGATGCGCAAACGTCTGGATCCCAGTAAATGTATATCCAGACTTCCACCGGGTGATTCGATCTTCTGTGAGCGGAGCCTGATCATCTGCTCCGTGAGATGAATGACCTGAAGCCGTAGAGGCGAGGGCGAAAATCGTCGCGGAAAGCAGTGTTGCCGTCAACATTGCGGAATGATGTGAAGGTCAACGGCGAGAAAATCAGGAACGTGTGAGAAATCCATCTTGCGGCAACTCTGGTTTGATAAACAACTCACGATACAGAGATAATGCAGAACTGCCGTGCAGGGACAGGTCGTTGGCGCGCATGGGCGTATGCGGCGCCTCGCGCGGCCATTTGGAGAGACGGATACCTATGTATTCTGCTAGTCCCGCTGATGTATGCCGATCAATTTCTGCAGGGATACTGCCGAGCAAGCTACTAACTACTGTAGATAAGCAAGAAGATGTACAGGGGTCAAGTTAGATACTGAATCATCTTCTCGGTTTTAACTCTTCAAAAACCTACAATAAATGACGGTCCAGGTGGGGTTCAAATAGTAAAGGTATTGCTCTCTTCTTGATCCTGTGATTGAATTCAACAGGACTAAAAGACAATCACATGGCGGGATCTTGGGTCGTATGATATGAGCTATTTCCACTTTATACTAAAGTGCTAAAGTGCTAAAGTGCTAAGTTGGATATATTTTTCTAAGTAGGTATCGTCTAGATATATCGAGGCAATTTCTGATATATTATATTTTGAAACTACTTACTCTTAAACATAACTTCTAGAATGTTGGTGCACAAAGTCCTCACTCAGGATAATGCTACGTCAAGTGTCAGCTGGTTAAGATTCTATTTTTGAGCCATCTATACCACTTTTCCGTACATGAAGCTCTCTAGACGGAAGGAGATGATATCTATAGACGAGCTTGAACCTCCTTCGCCAACAACGAAGCATTCACCATTTCCGGCACAAGTTCCCTTACATTCCTCGCACCCAGTAGCTTCATACCGGTAATGACTTCATCTTGAAGCAGCTCGATAGCTTTACTCACGCCCTCCGTTCCATAAGCGCTCAGAGCATACATAAAAGGTCTTCCAAGTCCCACAGCCGTAGCGCCCAGACATAAAGCCTTCAGTACATCCGTACCCCTCCTGTACCCGCCATCCACAAGAACTTCCACCTTCTCAAAAATGCCCGGTGCGTGCTTGCGCAACTCGTAAAGAGTATGTAGAGAAGATGGCGCGTGGTCAAGTTGGCGACCTCCGTGATTCGAGAGAAAGATACCATCAGCTCCATGGGTAGCAGCCAGAACCGCATCCTCGTACGTTTGGATGCCTTTGAGAACGACTTTCATCGGCGATGCGGCGGCCTTGATCCATTTTAGATCTTGCCATGTCAGACTCGAATCCGTCCAGCCCAGCAACGCATCTCCCAAGCCTTTCGCGTCGGCGCCCGTCGTCGCCGCAGATGTAGCTTCTGGAAGATCGCTGGCAAGAACGGATTTCTGGCGCTCGTCCGCTTCTCGTTTCCCTGGTGCTGGGGCGTCAATCGTCAGAACCAGGGCTTGAAAACCGAGTTTTTTGACGCGTTGGATTAGAGATTTGGTTTTTTCGTGGTCTTTGTTGACGTAGAGTTGGAAGAATAGAGTTTGCCCGGGAACCGTGGATCCAGCTATTTCCTCGTAGGTACAGCTGCTGTTCGTAGAAACGATATAGACAATGCCGTGTCTACCTGCTGCCTCTGCGAGGCATATTTCTCCTGAAGGATGTCCGAGTTTGGCCAGTGCAGCGGGTGAGATGAAAAAAGGGAGTGTTGAAGAGTGACCGAGGATGCTTGTCTTCGTGGTTATCTGGCTCACATTGCGAAGAAGACGTGGCCGAAAGCGAACCAAGTCGGCAGCAGATCGGTTGAGATTGTAAGAGTTGGAGTCCTCTGAAGTACTTGTGTAGTAGACGAGTGCTTTGGAATTCAAACGGCTTTTGCCAACTCGTTCGATGTCAAATATATTGATACATGTTGATAACGGTGGAACCTCGACTTGATCGTCCATTTTGATTACTTTGTCGCGGGAACTGCATCCTGTCGTTTAGTCTTAAATATAATATCTGTGTTGTTACAGTGAGCAGAGGGCGGGTGCGGCGGCCTTGAATATAAAAGCTCCACAATCTAGATCAGCGAATCACTATCCTGTCAAGATCCTCTCTAATGTACTAAGATGCCGGTATACGCATAGCATGCCACTAAATAACATATCAGGTGTAGTTTGATAACTTTTGATTAAATGAGTGATTCACGTTATGCAGCATGCAACATTTTTGTTTCCCAATATACTATATCTTTACGCATCTGAAACTTGCTGTTAACGAAGTAGAGCACCAGTGCATATTCATCACGTGGGCCATCCATAAACAGCATCTTTCCTTTACTCCAAAACCTCTCCACCACTTTCCTTGACAATCAGCTCAAAGTCGGGCTGGAATTCCGTGTAGAAGTTATGCTAAGCAAGGTGTCAGAGTATATTGCGGGAATAAGTACAGGAATGCTGGAAATACCGGATTCTGCACCGCATCAGCAGTGTATTGGGCTTCCTTGTGGCTCGCGATCTTCTTGGGAAGACCGTTGGCTGCAGCTGCTTCAGCGAGAAGCTGCCCGTGGCACGCGCGGTCTAGACTGGCAAACAAAAAGGCAGCCTCGTCAACAGTTCTTCCCACCGTGAGTAGTCTATGTTACATTAGCTGTGATGACGTTCCATTTGAGCGTGGTCATCCCACCCGTGATTCTGCAAAATGCAAGCAATTTTATCCTTCCCGAGCGATTCTGCAATGTTCCTGCCTTCCTCTTGAGCCAAAGCAATCCCTCCAAAGGATTCATAGACTCCGAGTTTTCCGTAGAAGTTGCATGCGTCTACGATATAATAGTTAATTCGTTGATCAGGATCATGGCTCGAGAGATGATACCTTGTGAGATCATTTCTACTGGCTTTCCAAATGCGCTCCAGGTTTTCCCATAGATACCGTGGGTATGCGCAGCCGCTATGGCATCTGGACGAGCTTTGTGAATTTCAGAGTGTATCATGAAGCCGGCTTCGTTGATTGGGAGTTGAGCGCCGCCCTCGACGACATAGCCGTCTGCATCAACCAAAACTAGATCTGAAGCTCTGATCATCGAAAAATGCATTGCAAAAGGGTTCATCCAGAAGTGGTCCTTTAGAATCGGATCTGTATAGAGAATTTCGTCAGGAGAGTGCGTAATTGATCACAGAGCGGCGGACTTCGTGGGAGATTGGTGCAGCAATTGACGGGGAGGCCCTTGACGTACCCCTCATGGATATATGGCCACTGACACCCTCTGAGTATCCATTCTTTGCGAAAAAGCGAAAAGCTGCCGCCATATGTTCTTTCATCCACTTTCGCTCCTCTAAAGGATCAGTGAACGTTGGGATGCCCTGTCTCGTGATTTTGCCTTGCCTATCGCCTCGAAATAGAGCCTGAAAAACCTCTTTCTCATCCTTAACGCCGCTATCCAAAGACACAGCCGTAGGGACAGTCTCAGTCATCGTCGCAGTCGCGGTGGTCGACATCGTGGATCAATCACGTGAAATGATCTATGGATTTGGTGGATAATATTTCCTCTATCCGTCTTACAACGGGCCAATGTGCACATCGTGATGCTTCTTTTATCCTTATCGTTGTTGGCGTTGATGTTGTTACAGCATGTCTTGCTTTGCCATTCCCAGCAGCACGGGGCGGCTTCGGCGGTTGTGGCGGCCTTTTTGTCGTCGTGCCCCTGGTGTTCCGCTTTAGGAATCTCAAGCGATGATCCGTCCACCCCTTTTCCCCCTTTTAACCCCTTTTACTAGATAGACCGATACGGACTTATGACGCGTCTAGTAATCAATGTTGATGGAAGTTGTTCAGAGTTGCAGTATATATCCTCCGGTCTAAAAGCACAACAATGATACTTACCATAGGGTGATGATAGGTGCACTCCCGAGAAATTATCTCAGTGACTACTCATGCCAAGGGGAAGATCGCCCCGCTTCCCGCCTGTGATAAGGACTGCTTATCTTACGGTTCCTGGTTAAACCTTATATATTGATAAGGAAACGTCAAGTAGGCGGCCCAGGGCGGGTCCGGCGGCCATAGATGGGACTATCAGTTCCCGCAATGCGGATGGCTGTCTCTCCAGGGAATGGCTGCACTACCCAGCCGGACACAGCCGGGACTTGTAAATTGTAGCAAAACTGAAACCAAGGCTCTAGAGCAGATACAGGCCCTGTCAGCTAACAAGGAGAATGATAGAATAGAGACCGCGATAAGTCAACATCAAACAGGCCAGTCAGAGTGTTATTAAAGCAAACGCGATCTTCTTAACAAATTGACAATACCTCTTAGCCTTTTCAAACTTACTCGACTTCGATACTTATGGCTCTAGTCTCTAGGCCAACACCAAACTAAAGACTTTCACAGCAGAGCAACGCATCATGTCTGTCCACAAGGATTTGGAAAAGACGTCTGCAGCGTCCACAGCTGCCAGTGGTGGACCGGATGTCCGTCAGGGGGAGGTTGAAATCGCCAATTACCTCGACGCGGGCATTAAACGCGGCCTGAAGTCTCGCCATATACAAATGATTGCTCTTGGAGGTGACTACAGGCTTCCATTTGCTCATATCACCTGATATCGCTGACAAGAGAATAGGCTCGATAGGAACAGGCTTATTCGTGGCATCCGGAACAGTTTTGGCGACCTCAGGACCTCTTGCTTTGCTATTGGGATATATTATCATGTCTGTTGTTGTGTGGTCGGTCGTCAGTATCCTTGCGGAGATGACAACCTATTTGCCTCTAAAAGGGAGCACCGTCCCGTATCTGATCAATCGCTACCTGGATCCCAGCCTGGCATTTGCTGCGGGTTGGAATTATTGGTACAGCGCATCGGGAGCTCAACACCATGGACAGATACTAATTGTCTGGTTAGGTTCGCTCTTACGATCCTTGTACCAGTTGAGGTGAATGCTGCGGGGCTGGTGATCCAGTACTGGACTTCATCGTGAGCAGCCCTAACAGAAAAAAAGTGCACATACTGAAGTTTTTCTCAGCGTAAACATTGGCGTCTGGATCACGATATTTCTAGTCGTTATAATTGGCCTCAATCTGTTCGGGGTTGAGCTGTATGGAGAGTCTGAATTCTGGTTCTGCAGTATCAAGGTGAGAGAACGATGGTGTTAGATTACGCCGGTTCGTCAAGTTGGCTAACAGGCTCAGTTCTTCACAATTGTCGGCCTTCTGATTCTCTCGGTGGTGATCTTTTTTGGGGGTGTTCCGAATTCTCATGGTGTACTCGGGTTCCACTATTGGAAGCATCCTGGCGCAGTCAACGAGTACTTGGTCAGCGGTAATACTGGACGGTTCCTTGCTGTCTGGAGCGCAATATGCAAATCAGCACTGGCATTCGTGTTTGCCCCAGAGCTACTCATAACGACTGCTGGCGAGGTAAAGTCCCCGAGAAGGAATATCCCCAAAGCCGCGACACGATTTGCATGGCGTCTTATCTTCTTCTATGTCCTTTCGTAAGTTTTTCGAGTACGTCCACTTAAGAGCTCTCTTATTTAGTTGACGTTCTAGAACTCTTGCTATTGGCGTTATCATTCCATCGAACGACAAGCAACTGCTTGGAGCGATAAACGCTGGAGATTCAACGGGCGCCGCGTCGCCTTTTGTAGCAGCTATCTTGCAATCTGGCATTCATGTAAGCTGAGCACCACCTGGGAGGATTCTAGAGGCTGACCAGTCATTTTTAGGGCCTCGATAGCGTTATCAATGCAGTTATCCTAACCTCAGCGTGGTCGTCAGGGAACGCCTGGTAATGTCAATGATCTGGTCTTGTTCAAGAGCAGTATTAACCCAACATTTTGACAGGCTTTACGCATCATCACGAAACTTGTACACCCTTGCACTAGAAGGCCATGCCCCTAGGATTTTCGCTCGCACAACAAAGAAGGGAAATCCGTATGCGGCTGTCCTTGTCACTTCTCTCTTCTCTTCCCTCGCCTACCTTACTTGCTCGTCTACCGGTATTACGGTATTCAATTGGTTCACCAGCTTAGCTACCATCTCAGGTCTCATCGCCTGGATCATCGTCTACTTCACCTTCCTGCGCTTTCGAGCCGCGTGCAAGTATCGCGGTATTATCGATAGCCTCCCGTTTAAAGCGGGCCTTCAACCATACATCTCTTGGTTTGGCATAGTTATTAGCGCCCTTGTGACTATTTTCAATGGGTTCTATGTCTTCTTCCCGGGACATTGGAATACCTCTTCGTTCTTTACAGCGTACATCTCAATACCAATATTCTTGGTCTTTTACATACCTCACAAGGCAAGCTTTCTTCCCTAGCGTAGCGGTACCGAAACGTTGCTGATGGTCAGCTGTAGATTTACTATAGAACCCCGATGTGGATACCGCTTGAATTAATCGATGTTCTGACCGGCAAAGAAGAAATGGACCAATTGGAGGCAGAAGATGAACCTCGAGTTGCACGAAACTGGGCAGAGAAAGTCTGGTTCTGGGTGGCCTGAATGCCATCGCCTAGAATTGTGGTCAATAGTCTAATTCTGGAGTTAGCTAGAAATGTTATGCAACATTAGACATATAATAGACGAATTGAGAAGAATGTATGTCCAAGGGGATTTGCGATCGGGATACCTCCCTAATATAAGAGCAAAAAGTCTTATAGTCAAAATTCAAGACTAATGTCTAATAAGAAAAACATCCCGAAAATTCAGTGCTCGATGCAACTAGAGACGAAATCGATCTCTCTGAGGGCCTCGTACACAGAACGGCCGAGAAGCTGAGTACGACCATATCGAAGATGGCCGGTCGCCGGGAAATAACTGCTTTAGAGCAATTAATAATATTAACTCCACATGGCACCTTTCGGGTACATCTTGCTGTGAGATTAGGGCGTATCGGGCGGCCCCTGTGGCTACGGCGTCTAAGCATCGATGCCAGCCCTTTTCGTCCATCGAACCCGCGCGGCGAAATCATCGACAGGGCCAGGGGCATTGTTTCTGCGTCTGTTAGCCTGTAGTTTAGTTCCTTGTCATCAAGGCCTCACATAAATACACGAATCTCTCTCGTACCATATACAAACTTACAGTAACTTACAATAATAACCGTAACGCTCCGAAACGTTTGAACACCAGGGCAAATAAAATGTCACCATCCGTCAAACCCACGATTCTCTATGTGGGACAACCCATCCAGCATGCTCATTCGGAATTTACTCGATTTAAAAGCAGTTTTACGCTACTTTATTATGACTGCAGCTCGAAAGATGAGTTTATTTCGGCGCTTTCACCTGGAGGTAAATACTCTCAAATCGATGGAATTGTACGGCCCAGCAACAGCCTAAATGATCTCCCACCTCTCGACAAAGGGCTCATTGCGCACCTACCTACTTCCTGCAAGATTATTGCCTCCTGCAATCATGGATATGATGGCGAAGATACGAGGGAGCTCGCAAGAAGAGGAATATGGTACTGCAATGGAGCCGGTGGCGCCAACGACTCCACGGCCGACATTGCTTTGTTCCTCATCATCGCCGTCTTCCGATATACTTCATTCTGCGAGCAGCAGACACGTGCCTTGAAATCTGCCGATTACTTTGCTGTTGAGAGACAAGCTGTCGACGTCTCGTACAATCCGCGGAACCATATCCTCGGTGTTATTGGGCTAGGGGAGATCGGTTACGCAGCGGCAGCACGGGCCAGGGCGTTGGGTATGGTTGTTCACTATTTTGGGCGCAGCAGGAAGTCTCCCGCGATTGAGGCATCTCTGGGTGGCGCCGTGTATCATGCAGAGCTCGGTTCTCTCCTGAAGGTCGCCGACTGTGTTCTCCTTGCCTGTCCGCATACTCCTGCCACACACCATCTCCTCAATCGCGAAGCCTTCAAAATTATGAAAAAGGGTGCGAGAGTAGTCAATGTCGGACGTGGAAAATGCATTGATGAGGAAGCATTGGTTGAAGCCCTTGAAGACGAAACTCTGGCAGGCGTGGGATTGGATGTCTTCCATGAAGAGTATGTCTCCTGCACTGTTCGGGCTGTAACCCATAACTATCAACAATACTAATGCATGGATTAGGCCAGTTGTGAATCCCAAGTTGTTTGACAACTGGAAGGTTACTCTGTTGCCACATATTGGAGGCGGAAGTGTGGACACCAACGCGGTAAGCCAATTCCAAGCAGCGAGGCCACGGTATGAATGCTGACACTGTGTCTAGAACTTTGAAAGGATTGCCATGGAGAACATCGAAGCATATTTCCTGGGGGACGGAAAGCCCCTGACTCCCGTCAATGTAGTAGAGGTGGAGGTGGAGCATATTCGGGCAGCAGCAAATTTGTAGTGAGACAAATCCCGTGACTAGCGGGCAAATCCCATGTCACCATCCACATTGTCTTCCAGTGTTCGTCCCTCCCCTAAACTCTTCTCGCGACATGGTAATAGTTAGTATGATGTGATCGGTGACATCTGTTTGGTCTTATGTCTCGAATTTCTATCTTTCTCGCCGAGATCATATAGCGCTATTGTTGGTCTGGCTGACTGGGTCGACCCGTCTTTGCTTCATGGACGACCTAATACCCGCGTTTTACCTTTCCATAAAGCTGAATGCGGCAAGTAGGTTGTTGAACTACTTTTCAACTGCCACCTCTTCTCTTATAGATCTTATTTTAGTGCTTTTTGACGGCGGCTGTTTCAAATTCCGGAAATAATAGTTCCAGAGAGATTTGATGCATCAAAGCCACAGAGGGGCCGGGCTCCCACAAGCTGTTCGAGAACCAGACCCTAAAAAATATGGTTTCCTGACGCATTTGAAAAGTAGTCCTTCCAAGGACCATTCTGCATCGGTTCATCGTGCTCCCGCTTCATAAGATATCATTGCACAAGGCGGGTCGATACATTGCCGACTTGAACAACTTCCGCGGTTTGCTCTTAGATTGGTTCAGCTAAGGTGGTTTTAGTATCCTGGTATTGGCGCGGGGAGGGACTCGCCCAGGGGGTGATGATTGAGAGTAGGCGGCTCATTTATTCTCGAAGAAAATGTTTCATTTGCGTGTGCCGGGTTTCAATATAGCTTCGTCTTTGTATTTATGCTATTAGTTATTCATTAGATAGAATCTGATATAGAGAATTTGCGGATACTTACTACTTTGAGTGCGAAAGTGCTGACCCCAGCAGTAATGCGGTACACTACAGCAGGGTTTCTAGACCCAATAACTTCGAGAATGGTAATCTCTGATTCAAGATACTCGAACTCGCGCAGATCTCAGTTTCTCGGGGAGGAAGAGGGCGTTACTTTTGACCGAGTTGCTTAGTCTAGTAGTCGGATGTTGTTATCGCGTGGTTGGAGGTATGGTGTATGGAGGGCGGTTGTGTTAACGCATTGTGCAGTTGTTGATGGGGAGTCGGCGTCGGAGGGTCCGACATAGGCGGCAAAACCTCGGCCCCACAGCCGCCTCTCAAGGTACCCCTGTTTCCCCGGATTTCAACCCCGTGTAAAATGTACAAATTACTTCAGTATGCCCTGCGTTCTACAACTCCACTTATTATATAAATCTGATTCGACTCCAGGAATGATAGATCTGTTACAAGTGGTTTGAAAATCACTATATTGAACTGAAATTCCAAGCACTGGTCTCGATATGTGCACACACTGCAATCTAATTACTAATGAGACCTCAATTACCTCGCGGATACAACAGAGATCAGGGAGTTTTCTTATATTAATCACTTTGCATGTTATGAAGAGAGGTTTCAAATTCACAAGCTTTTATTTTGCTACCTAATCGAGTCCTGGATCATTTCAAAGAAACAATCGCCCATCTCAATTTTCTGTAGCACAATCGTGCCCCCCAACAGCTCCAGGCCTATGAGGTTGTAGTATTTCCTCCACAATAAAGAGAAGAAGGAAGAATCGAATAAGAGACCACAGAAGAAGAGGAGCCTCCAGGGTATCGCAACGTAAACCGGCAAATACAACGAAAAAATCAAAAAACGCCGGCAATTGACAAGGAAATTAGGACCTGTGGAGGTGACGACGGCGGTGGGCGTCGGAGAATCGAATGAGTCGCTTGCGTGTCGCAGCAGCAGCAATGTCAATGTCGTTGGATTGTCCAGGTGTGCATGAGGTGCCTGCAGCGAGTGGTTGGACGACAGACCAGGTTCCGCTGGCGCATTGCTGGAAAGAGCTTCCTTTGATGCAGCTCCACATCCCCTCTGTTGAGCAAGCTCCGGTAAGGGCTAGTCCTGGGCCTGAGCTCGAGGTGCCTGTGCTGAGTGGGATAGAAGAGGTAGAAGGGGTGGAAGTGGTGGAAGGGTAAGCAGTGCTGTTGATTGACGAAGCGACTGGGCCTGCGGGCTTAGTTGAAGAGACTGTGGGAGCGGGACTTGCTGCCGAAGGTTGGGATATGACAGTGGCAAACACTCCATCTAACCCTTGAGGAGTCGAAGAGACTACCTGGGAGGCAGATGTCAAAGCTGATGACGGGGCTGAAGTTGAAGCCGATGTTGCCACAGGAGGAGAGTCCGAGGAGACTCCTGGTGAACCAGTGGCTACCGTCGCGGTTGCACATCCCGTGCCGGTTGCTGGTGAAGGGGTCGCCGTGGCCGTTCCAAATAAATCTAGCGAGTCTCCAGGATCGGGAAACTCAAGATCGGTCGAGTCTTGGGTAGTACATCCATTACCAATGTTAGCAACGAACATATTAGGAAGGGCGTTGTATGTTGCGGCATCGCGCTCCATGAGTTGAGTGACATTGCCTTCATCACTGCGCTTAGAGGCTGCCGCTGTTATGGTGATCGGAGCACAGTTCATGTACATCTCGCGGTTGCCAATTTTATTGAACCATGTCCAGGCCAGAGTAGCGGATCCCGTTGGAAGGGCTGATGGTATGGTGAAGGTGTAGGTGTCTGGATCCACAGCGTTGGCATCATCTCCGTTATTTCCAGCCACACCCTTGATTGGGCAACCTCCTTCAATGGAGTGAATCACCTTGAAGACGCTGGATTTGGTCGGGTCTTTGTCGTAGGTGATCGAGACTTGGCACGAACCACCTCCGTGAGTGGCGCTGCCTGTAAAGGCAAGCTCTTGGGATGACCCAAGAGCCATCATGTTGTTGGCTCCCTCCGCATCATACACTCCCGGACGCTGTTTGCAAGGGAAATCGGTACCGTCTGCGAGGAGTGGAGAGTTATTGAGAGTGGATTTGCCGTATGGGACAGGGGTATTCATGATCATGTGTCCGCTGGTGAGTGATGCCAGTCCGAGGATGACAACGGTGGATGTGGAATACATCATGTTGGATGATTTGTTTCTGAGGTTGTTGTTCGTGAAGGGGATCTGTGGTTGAGTGTGTGCTTTTTTGGGAATCGGCCTCGGAAAGATTCGAGGTTTGGTGCAGTGATGTTGTAGTTTGTATCTTTGTGAAGTGGTTAGAAGAAGAGATAAATCAGGCGTCTCAGTCAGAAATTTATATACCAACTCGCATAATCCTTCGGCTATTAAGATTCATTCACACAATAGAACAAGACGGCGCCATTGAGAACAATGTAGTTTTGGGGCAGTGAATATTAGATGCCGCGGACAATGGAAAGATGAAGCAATCGAAGAACAAAGCGATCGAAAGACAAAGCGACCGAAGGACAAGACAATAGAAGCAAAAAGTAACGAAAGGACAAGACAATAAAAGTGCTAGAATTCAAGGGCAACAGAATCAAAGGATAATGTAGTAAAAGGGGAGCGAGCACATTTGAAGAATAAAAGTAATTGAAGGACGGCGTAACCCAAGGAAGATACAATTGAGGAAAAAACAATTCAGAGACAAAGCAACTAAAAGGTTCAAGGACTAGCTAGACAGAAATACAGAGACTCGGGAACTGACAAAGAAAGTAAAGTAAACAGATGTCAGCCTCTTTCATCAAAGGATGCCGGTATCCAGCCATAAGATCGCCCATGCACTTGAATATCACTGGAATAGAAGAATACCCTGTAAAGAGCCTCTATTGAGATCTCAAAGGAAAAAGTTGCCAAAAACAACATACGGTTAGATGCAAGGACCGACAAAGTTGATGCACTGGCATAACCGATAGACGGTAAAATTTCTGTGAAAGTATATCTAACTCTACTAGATCTGGTCCGCTTCTCTCTTGCGCATGTGTCAAAAACATACACAGTAGGAGGCGAATGATGGACGAGAGATATAAAGTATAGCAATACCACTGTCACCTAAGCTTTAAGCCTGTTTAAGCAGACCATACTGCCTGGTTGTCCCATTATTTGGGCTACGCCTTGGTACCTGTCTATATGGGGTTATAAAAAGTACTGCTGCGATAGATACCCTTTTGATAAACTCAGTATCCTGACGTTGTGTGACTTGTGTCTCCTATAAAGGTTGGTCTTCCTGAGGGCCAAGGAGAGATCGGTCGGGGGAGAAGAACTATCACGATGGCCTTGCACTCTTCTGCCATGTCCACTCACCATTCATTAATGTGCCAGCGCCTGGCTCTGTCCATGCCAAGAGATAATAAAGCGAAGAAACAGCCCTGGGATCCATGGCTTCTTCTTTCAGGACGTTGAGACTGTATCAAGGGTCATCATACCTACAATTAAGTAGTTGATTTCGAGCCGAGACATTCTGTCAGATGCCAGAAAAGGGAAGAAAACGGCGGTGTGAAACACTTTCCGTCCGGCCTTTGACTAGATCTCCTAGATCTCATCGAAAAAGGTTGAGGGGGCTAACTAGGGATGAAACATGGCCGGTACCTTCTATTCTATGGTCTACTTTTCCAAACTCATTCCTCCAAGATGCCATGATCTTCCCGCGTCTAACAGATCTATCCTAAACTTCACTCTCAAGAGTCTTTTTCTGTCTCCGTATGCTCAGCGTCATGCTGGAGTCTGTTTGACATGTCTGTATTGATGCCTCGTCCTCCAGTCGTGTCAGGACCGTCATCCAGCCCTATCCTATATTAGCAAAAGTTGGGAGTGTATGCAGATAGTAGATTTAACCATTGTATTCCTCGCTGGAATCAGATGCCCATCGACCCGGCATCTTGTCCCGCACAAAACTATCGAAATCCCATTCTCCTTTCTCGAGACGTTCATCGCCTGCAATGTAGATATAGGTCTCAGTGTCCACTTTCTCTGCATCCGCGGCGACATTATCCTTTCCATCTCCCAAAAGGACCACCTTGACCTTATCCCGGCGGTATTCGCTGCCTTCGAAGAGATCCAACCTATAGAGGTCGGCATCCGTGAGACCCGTTACATACGTTCCCCGCACAGATTCCCCCTTCTGCGGGATCATTCCCGGATAATCAGCACCACTGACCTTGTGTCGGCAGTGGTCGTAGAGGATCGCCGGCTGGATGGTCAGGTTCGCAGCACGTAAAGATGCGATTGGATCGTCCGCAATATTGGATTTGCCATAGCAGACACGGTAGAGGACCTGGCGGGCCATCTGCCGTAGAGATCAGTGATTAGCTCCAGAAAAGTCTGGGTACACAAGAGCATATACCAAAGTCCCTATCGAAGAGATCGTCAGCTATCAACTGCACGTCGGTGGGTGAGGGGAAACCAACCATAAAAGAAGGCCGAGTGGGAGTTCATTTTGTCATTCATTACGAAGGTTGAAGATGGCGCTATGATGGTTATGTGAAGCCTCCAATATCTGCCTCCCAGCAACGGGGAAGGAGGCTGCTATCCTTATAACATCATGGTGGGTTGAAAGAGAATTGTGTCTCTTCGAACGTTTCTTTGACTAAGGTACGGCGGCAAATGCATTATCCCGATAAGAACCCGCTGCTGCCTGAGGCTGAAACGGTACCTACCTTTATCAGCTGCACGTGATAGTATGCACGGTTGCCTGAAAGGCTGAAAGACGGGAACTAAGCAGGTAGTAGCTTACCTAACCCAGCGTTGATTGGCGCAGGCGGCAGACTAACCGAAAATGCCTTAGTCATGTCACGTGAACAACACTTTTCATAGTCTCAGCGATGCCCCGGACGAAGAGTCGCGATCCAGAATTTCGCGAAAGCCTCATATTCAGAGCCTCAGATTGACTGCAACGCCCTGGATCAAGCCCACTCCCACTTCTTTTTTTACGGTGTACCTGGTCATATTGGGCGTGTCCGGTCTGCAGTCTTCTTCTGCAAATTTAATTAATTCGATTCCTTTCATTCCGGTCTTCGATGCGACACGACCTGTTCGGATCTTCCAGCCTCTCCCCGCGACACCACGCTCGTCTCGAAGCCGCGGCGCAACGCTCGTCTTTAATCGAATGAGGCTCTTCTCGTGAAGGCTTGCGCCATTGCGGATGCCGCAGCCATGTCGACAAATAATATTGAAATTCTGGCGCAGCGCTTGAGCTCTGCAGATTCAGGTACGGCCCCTCGAAGAGCTCCAGCAGTACCCAATCCACTACTGTTTACAATTGCTGACAGTTTGATCTACAGATGTCAAAGCTAAGGTAGAGGCGGCGACGCAGCTGCGCGACAATTTAGAGCACTACATATCGGGCCCCAGATACCCAGCCTTCTTGGAGAAGCTTGTCCCGGTGCTCATCAACTGCTTGAATGGCCCACCTGTGTTTATTAGCACATCTGCGGACCAGGTGTGTACCCCAGTTATGACCTGCGGGGAGGTGCTAATTAAAGGCCTCTAGAAACTGCGATATTGTGTCCTCGAAATACTCCACCGTCTACCTACGAGCCCCCCGGAGCCATTCGAGCCATATGCTGGGCAAGTTGTCGATCTGCTGATAAAGTTGGTCAGTGTTGATAACGAGGAAAATGCGTCGCTATGCGTTAAGACGATTATGGATATCATGCGGCACCAGACCAAGGTCTGCCAGGACAAGGTCCAGCCCTTCCTCACCCTCATACAGCAGTTGTTCGATGGGATGGAAGCAGTGGTACGAGAACAACTGGACAACCCCGAACCGGGATCCCATGGCCCTCCAGCATCAACTCCCGGCAGTTCACAGACGTACCAAAACTCTCCCCGGCCTGGTTCACCTGTTGCTTCCGTCTCGGACCTTGGTGCAGATCCACAGCAGCAAACAAGGCCTCTCTTGAAGGGGATGGCATCGTTCAAGGTCCTGGCCGAATGTCCGATCATCGTGGTATCTATATTCCAGGTCTACCGGGCGTCTGTCCCCGCGAATGTGAAGCTATTTGTGCCACTCATTAAGAGCGTCCTCATGCTCCAAGCAAAGCCACAGGAGGAGGCACACAGGGAAGCTGCTGCGAGAGGGACAATTTTTACAGGTGTTAGCCCCAATATCCGCAATAGGGCTGCTTTTGGAGAGTTCATTACCGCTCAAGTGAAAACGATGAGCTTCCTGGCATATCTCCTCCGTGTCTACGCGCAACAGCTTACCGATTTCCTCCCGACACTACCAGAAATTGTGGTTCGATTACTGAAGGATTGCCCGCGGGAGAAATCAGGAGCACGAAAAGAACTTCTGGTGGCTATTCGGCACATCATCAACTTCAACTTCCGGAAGATCTTCTCGAAGAAGATTGACGAGCTTCTCGATGAGAGGACCTTGATCGGTGATGGTTTGACTGTCTACGAGACGATGCGGCCTCTTGCATACAGCATGCTTGCTGATCTGATACATCACGTTCGGGACTCTCTTGAGCCTGCACAGATTCGAAAAACTGTTGAGGTCTACACCAAGAATCTGCAGGACAGTTTCCCTGGTACCAGCTTCCAAACCATGAGTGCAAAATTACTCCTCAACATGGCTGAGTGCATCGCGAAGATGCCCAACAAGGCAGATGCTCGACACTATCTCATCCTGATTCTTAATGCCATAGGCGATAAGTTTGCAGCTATGAACAGACAATACCCTAATGCTGTCAAGCTGTCGAAGTTGTATGCGCAGCAATCAGCCGATACCTCCCCTGACAACTATCTGGCGGACAAGGACCACCCACCTGATTGGGATGAGATAGACATCTTCACGGCTATGCCTATAAAAACATCAAATCCTCGAGATCGTGGCGCTGATCCTGTGGCGGACAACAAGTTCTTGTTTAAGAACCTGATGAATGGACTGAAGAACACATTCTATCAACTGAAGGCATGCAATGTCGCTTCTCCAATCGATCCGACCAATGCCCCTGCACATTGGCAGGAAGTTTCGTATGGATTCACCGCCGAAGAAGTGCAAGTCATCATCAAGCTCTTCCGTGAAGGTGCCTACGTCTTCCGGTACTACGAGATTGAAAAGCCTGCAACGGAGTCCCAATATTCTTCTCCTGTTGAGTTTATGGCGAATCACTACATGATCTCCAGTAGCAAGGAGGAGAAGGATCTGCTCGAAACCTTTGCTACGGTCTTCCACTGCATAGATCCAGCGACCTTCCATGAAGTCTTCAACGAAGAGATTCCAAGGCTCTACGACATGATTTTTGAGCATACTGCCCTGCTCCACGTGCCTCAGTTCTTCCTTGCGAGTGAAGCAACCTCTCCCAGCTTTGCAGGCATGCTTCTTCGGTTCCTTATGGATCGTATTGATCAGGTTGGAACGGCTGACGTTAAGAAGTCTTCCATCCTACTTCGCTTGTTCAAGCTCGCCTTTATGGCTGTCACTCTCTTCTCGAATCAGAACGAGCAGGTCCTGTTGCCACATGTGGTTGACATCGTTACTAAATCGATTGAGCTATCGACCACCGCGGAAGAGCCAATGAACTACTTCTTACTCCTGAGATCTCTTTTCCGAAGCATTGGAGGTGGAAAGTTTGAACATCTCTACAAGCAAATCCTCCCACTCCTTGAGATGCTTCTAGAAGTCCTCAACAATCTCCTCTTGGCTGCTCGGAAGCCATCCGATCGAGATCTCTATGTCGAACTATGTCTAACAGTTCCGGCACGATTAAGCAATCTTCTTCCGCATCTCAGCTTTCTGATGCGGCCACTCGTGATTGCGTTGCGTGCTGGTTCTGATTTGGTGGGACAGGGATTGCGGACTCTGGAGCTCTGCGTCGACAATCTAACAGCTGATTACCTCGACCCAATCATGGCACCAGTCATCGATGAATTGATGACAGCACTCTTCGATCATCTCCGACCAGCTCCGTACAGCCATTTCCACTCCCATACCACTATGCGGATTCTTGGGAAGTTGGGTGGTCGTAACAGAAAGTTCATGACAGGCGCACCAGGGCTGACCTTTCAGCAATTTTCGGATGATGTGACCAGCTATGATCTTAAACTAATCGGCACGAAGAAGGATAGGGCATTCCCTGCCGAGATTGGGGTGGATCTCGCTATTGGGAAGCTAATGGAGATTCCCAAAGGAGCTGCCGCGAAGAAGTCAGATGGCTACTATAAGAAACAGGCCCTTCATCTGATAAAGGCCCAATTGAAACTTCGCCTAGGCGTTGATAGTCTCCCAGATGATTTCGCTCGACTTGTCCGCCTACAAGCTCAAGATCTGCTGGCAAACAAGTCCGATGCTGACTTTTCCATTCTCGAGGCGACCGACAAAGAACGGTCTACGCTCAAGAAGGAGGGACAGGATGCGATGCTCAAAAAGCTTATCAAAGCCTGCATCTTCGCTGTCTCGTTGCCTGATTTATCTGCCGAAGCCATGGCATTGTTGACTAATGTTTGCAGGCACATTACGATCCTTGAAGTAGGTAGGTCTCTGATCGAAATGAAAAAGAAGACCCAGGCATTTGATGTGAGGGCCGGAGAGGGGCCGTTGTCTATCGATAGCAGAGTACTTGGGGATGCTATTGCTGAGTCCCTAGCATCTGATATGCCTGCCGTCCGTGAAGCTGCGGAGGCTGCAATCCAGGAAATCTATGAATCAACTGCCATCATTTTTGGATCCAATGCTGAGGTTGTTAAATTATCCTTCTTCACCTATCTGAGCAGCACCTTCTGCCATGGATGCTATGAGGAGGAGTGGTTTACCAAAGCTGGCGGTAGCCTAGGCATCAATCTCCTGCTCACCAAGATCAATCTAGGTGATGCCTGGGTACATGATAGACAAATTGACTTTGCGCGAGCTCTACTATATGTCATCAAAGACATGCCACCAGATTTACCGGCAAAGACTCGCGTGGGAGCGCAAGAGACTCTTGAAGTCTTATTGTACCGGTGTACGAAGAACGCCTCCAAAGCCGACCTGCAACCCCCACCACCCGCTCAACCAGGTCAACCACCACAGCGACCTTCGAAAATGTTTCAGCTATGCGGAATTCTGAGCAACGAGCTCTCTCACATGAATCGGCATGTCCGAGAGACTGCGAAACGAGCACTAGAGATTGTTGCGAAAGAACTTGGGGTCGAGGTCTATGAATTATTGGAGCCTACCAAGGAACGCTCTTTGACGCCAATATACAACAAACCACTAAGAGCCCTGCCATTCTTGGTACAAATCGGTTTCATCGACGCTGTTACATACTTCATGAGCTTAAAGCACGATTTTGTCGTTTTTGACGACCATCTCAATCGACTGCTCATGGAATCACTGGCTTTGGCTGACGCTCCCGATGAATCTCTCGCTGGCAAGCCATTGGAGTATAAAAACTCTGAAAACATTGTCAACCTTCGAGTTGCTTGCATCAAGATGCTCACGACAGCAATGGGATTTGAAGACTTCCTTCCACCTGAAGATACACAAAATTCCGCCCAAAAGTTACCAGTGAATGCTACCAGGACAAAGATCGTGTCGGTATTCTTCAAGTGCCTGTACTTGGAATCAAAACAGACGATTGAGGCGGCGAACGATGCATTGAGGGTCGTTCTGTCTCAGAAAACAAAGCTTCCGAAAGATCTTCTTCAGAACGGGCTTCGACCGGTATTGGCAAGCCTGCAAGACCCACGACGTCTGAGTGTTCACGGACTCGATAGTCTTGCCAGGCTGTTGCAACTTTTGACAACATACTTCAAAGTGGAGATTGGTCATCGACTGCTCGACCATGTCAAAGTCCTTGCCGAACCCAACATACTGCAGCGCATCTCTTTTACCCTCATTGAGCAGAATGAGCAGATGAAGATAATCGCCTCTGTGTTCAACATCTTCCATCTCCTGCCTCCTGCCGCAGAACAGTTTAAGGAGAGACTTATTGAAACCGCGCTAGATCTTGAGGAGAAGCTTCGCAGAACTCGTTCTAGCCCATTTCGCGCTCCTCTGTACAAGTATCTCAACCGTTATCCCAAAGAGGTTTGGCTTCTACTTTTGGGAAAAATTGAGGAGCAAAAGTATGGTCGCTTTTTAGCACAGGTCCTCGAGCATGAAGACAGCAAACCACTTCGGAAAGTTGTAGTAGATAATGTGGAGTCCCTGATCAAGAGTTGCGGGGACTTGGGAGCCGAGAACAAAGAAACCCGCTATGCCGCCGTGATCAATGCCATTAACATCATCCATGCTACGACCAAGTTTGAAGGAACAAGCGACTGGATGGAGAAGAAAGAGAACCTTCAGTGGTTCAAGTTGGTGGGCAAAAATCTCGAACTTCATTTGCGCACAAACACCTTACCCCCGAATCTCCGTCTCGCCGCTGAGCAAGCTGGGGATCAGTTGATGGTGATTTTCACTAAATTCTTAGAATACCACCCTCGAGATCTCGACTCACTGTTTAGCCTGATTGACTCAGTCACCGCGGAAGACTTCAGGCCCAGTCACCCACTCTTCTCATACCTCTATAATCGTATCATTTGCAACGACTCCATCGAATACTGGAAGACTGTCGTAATGAGATGCCTGGAGGTGTATGCGAACAAGACTGCGTCACAGAAGACCAAAACCTTCTTGCTCCACAACCTTGTCAATCCAATCATTGCCATGGATATCATGCGGGTTTCGAAGCAGCCAACTGCCTCAAAGGGCCCTCGACTGATAGATAAGGCAGTTATTGAATCCATCCACACGAAGATTTGGAAGGTCGGCCTGGGTGATCCGAACGATGACTTGACACAGCCAGGAATTGACCACACACGAATGGAGGTTCTGCAGTTGACTGCCATGCTCGTAAAGTATCATCATTCGGTCCTTCAAGAAGCCAGAAAGGACATCATCAAGTTTGGTTGGACGTATATTCGTGTTGAGGACGTGATCAACAAACATGCTGCATATGTAGTCATTGGCTACTTCATTGCTCACTACGAGACACCGGCCAAGATTGTCCAGCAGGTCTACTTTTCTCTGCTCAAGACCAACCAAAATGAGGGGCGCGCCCTGGTGAGTCAGGCATTGGAGCTCATAGCTCCTGTTCTTCCTAAGCGCTGCAATGCGACGCCCGGAGACCGGAATCCTATCTGGGCAGCTGCTCCCCGTCGTATCCTCTCCGAAGAGAGTCAGAATGTCCAGCAAATGACGAACATCTTCAACTTCCTGGTGAAACATGCCGATCTATTTTACGAATCCCGGGACAAGTTCATCCCTCTCATCATCAGTTCTCTGCGCAAGATTGCTCAGCCTCCCAACTCATCAAATGAGAGCAAGAAATTGGTTCTCCATCTGATGACGTTGATTTGGCAATGGGAACAAAGGCGTGTTGAAGGAAAGGATAGCTCGCCAGTTCGTGCTTTCTCGGAGTCTCCCAATACGAAAAAGCGTAAGCTGGATAGTCTGAACGATCAACAAACGTCCTCGCCATCACCGTCTAAGCCTGGGTCATCTGCTTCGATTGATAGGCCCGAATACCAAATCCCAGCCATGGCAAGAGCTAAGATGGTCAAATATCTGGTAGAGTTCATCGCTTCACTCACTGAGCGCTATCCACTTCCTTCGGCCAGAACACCAACAATGGCAGCTTCGCATGCCCCAATGCAACCTCCTCCGTCTGTGGAAATGTGTAAGAAGGCCATGTCACTCTTTCACAACATTCTACAACCTCAGTATTGGGGTGACCTCGATATTGACCTATTTCCAAATGTTACCGAGACAATTTTAGCAAGCGACAGAACTGTTGCAGCGCTTGCTAGCGAGCACTCCGACAAGGAAAAGCCCGATGAGAAGTTTATCACCAACATGGTCAACACCCTCCAGATTGTACGTATCATTGTCAACATCAAGTCAGACGAGTGGATCTTGAAGAATATGTCAACACTGCAGCGCGTTCTTGAAAAGTCTCTGAAGTCTGATAATCCAGAGATTCAAGATTGTTTACATGCAGGAAGTGAAACTATCGACGATGGTCGCAAGTTGAAGCCACTTCTTAAGCGCATTCTAGATGCTGTTCCCGACGATGTCCCGATGGAGGATGCGGATGCCGAAGGCGAGGCAGAAGCTTCGACATCTGAAATTATCACCTTCCTCTCCACAATTGCCACGGAGACACTGTCGGCAAACAATTACATTTCTGGCATCAACATATTGTGGACCTTAGCACAACGAAAGCCATCTGAGATGGACCAACACATCAACCAGGTTATGAAGGCATTGCAGTCAAAACTGGCTCGAGAGCACGTGGCTCATTTCAATGCAGTCACGGGTCAATCGGGACTGCCCGTCCTCGTTCGACCTGGCGATGCTGAACAAGCCAATATCATGAGCCCTTACGACCTGGAGATCCAGACTTCTTTAATGCTCAAGGCCATTGATATAATCTCAATGCGAATGGATGTGCTCGGAGATAATCGACGTCCTTTCCTGAGTGTCCTCGCTACTTTGGTTGAGAAATCTTTGAGCAATCCGCTTTGTCTAAAGATCTTGGACATGGTGGAGACGTGGGTCTTCAGGTCCGAGGGATCCTGGCCCACGCTCAAGGAGAAGACAGCAGTCCTACACAAAATGTTGACATTTGAAACTCGGGCAGATCAGACCCTTTTGATGAAGTTCTTGGAGCTCGTCATTCGAATATACGAGGACCCCAAGATCACCCGAACTGAGCTCACTGTCCGAATGGAACATGCATTCTTGATTGGCACAAGAGCACAGGACGTGGATATGCGCAACCGGTTCATGACCATTTTTGACAAGAGTCAGTCCAAGACTGCAAGTGTAAGACTCGCGTACGTGATTTCTGCTCAGAATTGGGATACCCTGGCCGACTCCTACTGGCTGGCTCAAGCTTCCCAGTTGCTCCTTGGTTCTGTGGACCTGAACAGTTCTGTGCAACTGAATGTCGAAGATATTCGGATGATTCCTGCCTCGGCTCTTTTCGAGACCTATGCAAGAGATAGCCGGACTCCATCATTGATGGCAGACAACAAGTTCGAGAGCTTGATGGCCTCCCACAGACGTTTCGTGTCCGAACTTGGTGACATCAAAGCTCGCGACATTATCGAGCCTCTTAGCCAACTGCAACACCTAGACGCGAACGTCGCACATAGTATATGGGTTGCCTTGTTCCCACTATTTTGGGCGGCCACGCCCAAGGATGAACGAAGTGATCTAGAACGTGGAATGGTCTCTCTCTTAACGAAGGATTATCATTCACGTCAAATTGACAAGAGACCCAACGTCGTTCAATCTCTTCTCGAAGGTGCAGCTAAGTCTTGGCCAGAATGCAAAATTCCGCCCCACGTTCTCAAGTTTGAAGCGAAAACATATGATGCCTGGTACACCGCACTTGTTCAACTTGAAAACGCTGCTATCAAACCGGAGATTGATAGTGCAATGGTTCGAGAGAGCAATCTCGATGCGTTGGTCGAGCTCTATGCTGGTTTGCAGGAGGATGATCTTTTCTATGGAACTTGGCGTCGACGTTGTCAATTTGTGGAGACCAATGCCGCCCTCTCATATGAACAAAACGGGATGTGGGACAAAGCTCAGACCATGTACGAAACGGCCCAGATCAAAGCTCGCACCGGTGCTATTCCATTCTCACAAGGGGAGTACATGCTTTGGGAGGATCACTGGGTTTTATGCGCACAGAAGCTTCAACAATGGGAAATACTCCAGGATTTTGCAAAGCACGAGAACTTCCAGGATCTTCTTCTGGAATGCGCATGGAAGCAGACGGAAATGTGGCAGACCCCCGATCACCGCGATGCATTGGACAATCTCATCAAGGGCGTGATGGATGCGCCAACACCCAGGCGTACATTCTTCCAGGCGTTTATGTCTTTGCTCAAGCTTCATAACAAAACCGAGTCCCCTGCCGAGTTTAGCAAGGTCTGTGATGAGGCGATACAGCTTTCAATCCGCAAGTGGCATCAATTGCCAAAACGCATCACCAATGCCCATATCCCGCTATTGCAGAACTTCCAGCAGCTTGTCGAGCTTCATGACGCCAGCGTTATCTGTCAGAGTCTGGCACAAACAAATCAAGGCAATCTAGATGTCAAATCTGGTGAACTCAAATTGTTACTTGGTACTTGGCGAGACCGACTTCCCAATGTTTGGGACGATATCACGGCCTGGCAGGATTTGGTAACTTGGAGACAACACATCTTTGGTCTCATCAATACGACATACTTACAACTCTTGCCTCCGCAGGGCCAGAACGCCAGCGGTGCCTCTTTTGCATACCGGGGTTATCATGAGACTGCTTGGATCATCAATCGATTCGCCCACGTTGCTCGTAAGCATCACTTGCCAGAGGTCTGCATCAGCCAACTCAGCAGGATATATACCTTGCCTAATATCGAAATTCAAGAAGCTTTCTTGAAGCTCAGAGAGCAGGCGAAATGCCATTACCAAAATCCCAATGAACTCAGCAATGGATTGGACGTTATCAACAATACCAATCTCAACTATTTTGGCCCCAATCAAAAGGCAGAATTCTACACGCTCAAGGGTATGTTCTTGGAGAAGCTAGGTCAGCGGGACGACGCAGCTGAAGCTTATGGCATGGCTTTATTTTTCGATATCAAACTTCCCAAGGCTTGGGCAGAGTGGGGATACTACAACGACCGCCTCTTCAAGGAGAATCCCACAAACTATGCCTATGCAAAGAATGCATTAAGTTGCTACCTAGAAGCTGCTGGCCTTTTCAAAAATGCGAAGTCCCGAAAATTGCTTGCTCGAATCCTTTGGCTTTTGAGTCTTGATGATGCCGAAGGTACTCTGGCTGCTCAGTTCGATGAGTACAAGGGCGAGACCCCCGTGTGGTACTGGATCACTTTCATTCCTCAGCTCTTAACAGGTCTCGGCCACAAAGAAGCGTCCAAGGCGCACGGAATCCTTGCCAAGATTGCGAGGTCATATCCTCAAGCACTATATTTCCAACTGAGAACCAACCGGGAAGATATGCTGGCAATCAAGAAAAGTCAAGAGCAGAAGGAGGAGAAAGAGCGTAGAAACAGGGCTCGCGCTCAAGCGCAAGCTCAGGCTCAAGGGTCAGCGCCCCAGCAAAATGGCTCACCCAGTCTTCAGCGGCAAGAGACACCCAACACTGTACGACCTGAAAGTGCGGCAGGATCGCGACCTGGAACTGCAAACCCTGAGATGAATTCCAATTCCTCCACCGTGAAGTCGGAAGCCGAGACAAATGGCGCAGCCGCTGGCCCAGCAAATGGTCAAACAAATGGCGCGGCAAATGTTCCCAATCCAAACGCTCCCAATCAAAGTGGAGCAATTCAGAATGGAGCCAGTGGGCAACCGGCAGCACCTCCAGCAGTTCAAGCCGTACAGAAAAAACCACCGTGGGAGCACACCGAGGAGATCCTAGCGGTTCTCAAGACAGCATTCCCGCTATTGGCTCTCTCAATGGAATCCATGGTCGACCAAATTGGGAAATACTTCAAGTGTCCACCCGACGAAGATGCGTATCGCCTGATCACGGCTTTGCTCAACGATGCCCTTAACTACGTCGGTCGCATGCCCGCTTCATATGCACAGGATGTCAAGCTACCACCTGCAACCGAGGCCAACATCACGAGATTTGCGGAGACCATCCTCCCTGCCCATATCCGCAAACAATTTGACGCGGACTTCGTCTTCAAGAAACCAACGATGTACGAATATATCCACAAGCTTCGGAGATGGCGAGACAAATTTGAGGAAAAGCTTGACCGCCGACGGACCTTTGCTTACCTGGAGAACTACACCAGCCACCTCAGCGAATTCCGGTTCCAGAAGTTTGATGAGGTCGAGGTCCCAGGACAGTATCTGCAACATAAAGACAAGAATCAAGACTTTGTTCGTATCGATAGATTCCTGCCAAATGTCGATCTTGTCCGAGGTATAGGAGTCTGTCACCGCAGATTGAAAATTCGAGGTCATGACGGTAGTCTTCACCCCTTCGCCATTCAACACCCAGCGGCTCGGAATTGCAGACGTGAGGAGCGGATTTTGCAGCTCTTCAGACATTTCAACAGCAGCCTGAGCAAGCGTAAGGAGAGTCGACGCCGCAACCTTAACTTCCACCTGCCGTTGATGATCCCTCTTGCGCCGCATATCCGGATGGTCCAAGATGATCCTACGTATATCACGCTTCAGGGCATTTATGAAGACCATTGCAGAAAGAGTGGTATGTCTAAGGACGATCCGGTTCTGTTCACAATGGAGAAAATGAGGGCCTTATTAGAGAGCAAGGTAAGTTTTTGGCGCCCACGTAAACGCTTGATCAGAGCTAACTCCCGATCTAGAAACACCCAGAGCAGGCTCTCACAGCACGGTTGGAGACTTTCACTGCCATCCAGGAGAAATGGGTTAGGCACGATCTGGTCCTCGATTACTTTACGAACGTCTATCCATCATTTTCTGAGTTCTGGCTCTTCCGTAGACGGTTCTCGTACCAGTTCGCCGCACTTACCTTCATGACATACATCCTCCACATGCACAATCGATACCCTCACAAGATGTCCATCGCTCGTGCTACTGGCAATGTCTGGGGTTCCGAACTGATGTCATGTATGGCAGCAGGCAAAGCATTCTTCCACAATCCCGAACCGGTTCCATTCCGTCTCACACCAAACCTTCAGACGCTCATGGGGCCTCTTGCCACGGAAGGTATCTACAGCTGCGCGATCATGGCCATTGCTCGATGTCTTACGGAACCAGAATTCGAGCTAGAGCAGCAACTCAGCTTGTTTGTGCGTGATGAGATGATCTTCTGGTTTACGAGCAGTCATAGGAGCCCTCAGATGGTGGAGGGGCAGCTGAGGGAGACGGTGCAGACCAATAGTGAACTCATCGTTAAGAGAACTTTGAGCCTTGCACAGCCGCCAACTGGCACCCTGCCCGCGAACCAGACTGTCATTGACCTGATCGCCAAGGCTGTCAACCCCATGAATCTGGCTGGGACTGATGCTCTCTGGATGCCTTATCTGTAGAAGGCGGACACGAAGGATATTATCGGAGGGGCTTTATGTTGATAATAGATACGCAAGGAGTCCGGAGGTCTTTGCTTTGAGCAAGAATGAAAAGGGGCGTCTTACATGTGCTTAGCGAGGCGTTTTTGGCTGGAGGAGATACACAAGGTTTTACAATGATTGATCTTATCTGGTTGACGCATTGGGCTTTTCTTCTTTTTTCTCCTGTACAGAACGACAACTTTCTTTGCTAATGATTGCTAATAATGAATGACCTTAAATGAAACGCTGTGTTTTAGAACGTCTTGATCGTGTTATGTGATGATCGTATCCCGCCCTTCCACTTTGTGCTTGGCCCCTTCTAGATTCCTGCCAATATCCAACTCAAAAAATTAAAAATAAATAATGAATAAAAGGAAGGTAATCGTTCGGTTGGCCAACTCACACCCAATCCTCGGTTAATCAACAACACGAACCGAACAATAGAATGAAAACAAGACGAAAATAAGAAACCTCCTCCTCTTCAAAAAAGGAAAAAAGTAAGAAAATCAAAAAGAAAGAAGGAAGTCTTGCGTTCGCCGGGAATCGAACCCGGGGCCCATCGAAGTTGAATGAATGGAAATTCATTGGCAACGATGGATTTTACCACTAAACCACAAACGCTTTTTGGTTATGCGGTTTTGCTTAGAATCATATACATAAGGATCTTCGAATCCAAAGTGTGGGGAGGGTTGGGTTGGTATAGATAGATAAGGATTGCTGGGTTTTGAATGTAATTTTTTTTACTCCGAGGTCTATATATGTAGCTATCTATGTAGGTATGTGGAGATGTGATTTAGATATTACTGTGAAGAGAGGGGGTTGGATTTCTGGGTATAGCTATGTATGTGGGGGATGGGCCCGAGGTTGGTTGTGAATGATGCGGAATGTAGAAGGGGGGGGGGGGGGGGGGGGGGGGGGG